GTGAAGTGATAGAAAATACTTGGTATTTCATGCTACCATTTTGAGGCTGTTGTGAGAAAACAGTTAGAATGCTTATGTGTGAAAGGATTGTGCAGGACACAGGTCTGTGAATCCTCTGGCATGATTATCACTGTTCTTCGTGTGTGAAAGGGTTGTGCAGGACACAGGTGTGTGACTCCCCCAGCATGCTCATCACTGTTCTGTGGTTCTTACTTTTTGAGAAAAGTCTTGCTGTGTATTCTTAGCTTTCCTAGTACTCACTATACAGTCCTGACTGGCCTTGAACTTGAAGCAATTCTACTTCAGTCTCCTGAGTTCTGGCTTTATAGGCCTATGCTACCACCTCTGACTTTTGCTGGGTAGCTTTGAGGGTCAAGTGTATCACATCAATTTATCTTGGACATCTGGAGATGCTGATCACTTCATGTTGTTTTTTTTTTTTTTAATTTAATGAAAATTTTATTTGGTGATGGTCTTGCCATATTTCCTAGGTTAGTGTGGAAGTCCTGCATCTAGTGCCCCTCCCAGCTTAGCCTCCTTGGTGCTGATATTACAGCTGTAAGCTACCACTCACAGTGTACTTTTGTGTTAATACCTTTTCGGTGTAGCTGTTTGCAAGCTCAAAGCTGAATCAATTACCCAGTTTTGTAAGAAAAAAAAGAAGAAAGAAAATTTTCACCTTTTCCTTATCTTACTTACTCTTCCTTTGGCATTATTCAAGACAGAAGCCTCACTGCAGTGGATCAGTGTTAAACCATTTCAGAGGATGAAGGCGAGTCATGTGGGGTCTTTATTAAGCCAATATGTGCTATGAGGTATCCTAGTGGCTAGCTATGGTGCTGGCAGAGCTCTGGTATTTTGGAACTCTCCAGTGGCCGTTTCCATAAGATGAGATCTTCGAAGTGACTCTCCAGGTGAATGGAGACAGTGAGTAGCAAGACGTCAGTCCTGGTGAAGTTCATGCCCAAGGTTCTCATTGTGATCCTTCAGTAGGGGCCAGCTCAGAGCCTAGTCACCTGGGGATGGGATAGAGCAGAAAGACTAATAAGGCCTATCTGGGGGATGGGAGTTTCAGATGATAGACTGTATGACAGTATCTGTGTTTAAACACAGGGCAATGTATGTTATAAAACAGGTGCAGATTAAGCTTTGTGGTTTTTCCTGGGAATGAGAGATCACTTACAGCTAGGGGAATTGTGAAGGCTCAGGGCATGAATGACACACAGCTAAGCTCACAGGGTAAGTAAGCTTACATGGTGCGGACACTCGGACAGATGAGGTGAAGGAAGGAGATATTAGCAGCAGTGAGTTTAATGCTGGGGATTTCCGGCACCATGACATTTGGTGGGGAAGATATTTTGGGCAGTGGGGATTGTGAGACGTCTCCAGTTACACCATATGAGTAGTTGCTTACTCTTCGGTTTATGGTCCAGTCCTGTCTGTCTTGGGGCATGTGATCTGCAGGTGTTGATAGGGAGGTCAGAGAAAGGCGGGGAGGGAGTAAGACGGAGAAAGGGAGAGAGAGAGAGAGAGAGAGAGAGAGAGAGAGAGAGAGAGAGAGAGAGAGAGAGAGAGAGATTAAAGCCTTCACAGGGCTGACTGCTCAGGAAACTTAACACCTGGAAGTATATTCTCAAGCAACTGCTCAAAACCTTGTATTAATAAAGTAGCTTTTCGACTTTGATACGGAGGAGAAAATTCTGGAAGAGGTTCCACAACAGTGCTCAGCACTGCAGCTGGGCATCTCAGGACACATCTAAGAGAGCCATTGGTACACTCAGCCTCTTGTCAGGCAGACTTTTTTTCCTTAGGCTTCTTTACAACCACAGAAGGCTGCTGTTCTGTGGAATGGTAAGCCCAACAAAGCCTTAGAGTAGAGCTGTGCAGCAGTCGATCTATGGTTCCTTCCAGCAGCTGATGGATTTGTTACCATTAGCACAAGGTGGCTCTCCAGAAACTCTGCAATTGCCTCTTGAAATAGGAAAACCTCAGGTCACATGGGTAGGGTGTTGCTAATGGGGTGAAAACTTTTCCGGACCATTAAAACCAGTTCCTGTCACTTGCCTCTAAGTAAAAGTTTAAACAAACCTCTGTTCGCTGTTAGGAAAACCAGAATCAATATCTGATTACAGCAAAGTTCAATGCCATTCTGCCGGATTCCACCAACCTCACAAAATCCACAAAGGGGCAGGAGCTGAGACTGATGACTCTCAAGTGTCTGACTCAGAATCCAAGTTCTCGGGCCGCTGTCCGTAGAGTTTCAGTGGCATCAGTCACCAATAATCACAGTTGCTATATTAACATTGCACAGTGCTGTGTAGCTCATAAATCATCTTCCCTATACATATCATTTAATCCTCATAAAAACTCAACGAGGTGATTATTACTCTTGAACTTTTACAGAGGAGAAAAGCCAGGGCTTAAGATAACTCAAGCACATTATCCCAGATCTTGGGATGTGTGTGTGTGTGTGTGTGTGTGTGTGTGTGTGTGTGTGTGAATGTCTGTTTACGTCTGGTCTTACTGATCCAAGTCTATTTGGGCGGGGTCCAGAGATCAGAGTCAGGATTGGGGTGAAAGGTAAAGAGGTGAAGTGTTACACTAGGCAAAAGCTGGTCATCTAGGAATGAGCTGTCCTCAGATAGGGACAGACTTTCTCTAACCCTCTCTTTGCCCAGCAAGGTAATCAGACAGCACCAGAGACCTCCGTGTCTAGAATTATGTTCAACACCTTTGATTTTCTGATGAGGAAGCAAAGGTAGTGAGGTTTGTTGTTTTTCAAAGACTCCCACAGCTGCCCAGTGATAGGACTGGGATTTTCGCCCAGTTTTCTGCCCTTAAAAGGGAATTACGGTCACTCTACCTGGGTGCTTTTCCAGACATGCACTCTGTTCTTTTGATAAGGAAGCGGTGTGTTTACAGTGGAAGGTGGTGGGGCACGTCTTAGATAAGCGAGCTAATAATAACATTTGCTACGATTCATCAAACACCTGTGTTGTGCTGCACCAGATACTCCATAGGCATGTATGTCTATGTAACATTCTGGATAAAATAAATGTCTGTAATTTTCATGGGAACTTTGCAAAATCTGTATTATTTTCATGTGAAGAGACGGGGGACAGAGATGAAGAGGGACTAGCCAAGGTGATATTGAGTTCATGATTTTTCCAATGTGCAGTGTGGTCTCTGCAATAATTTCTTCCCTTGTCCTAGAAAACTGAAATGTCTGATTTTTTTTTTTAACACAGTCACGTATCAATTTTTGGAAATCATTAAAATTCAAATCATCCATGTTTATTCCTAGAACTATATCTGATTAAAAAGGGAGATAAGGGAGATGATTCAGTTATCGCCTTTAAACAGAGACCTTAGAAGTCTTGATTAATATGTATTTTTTTTTATTGTGAAGAAAAACCAACAGTTTTTTTTTTAAAAAGAGCTACAGATTAAAGTCATATGTTTAAGTAATTAGAAAAAAACAATTAGTTTTTTCAACCTCTGTTCCTCTGAAGTGTCAGGGGTGGAGCTCTGGTGATGTTCTCACCGTAATTAGTTCTTCTCTTTAGATAATACCTGTGGGAGCGCCAGGTGTATCCATCATCTTTACATCAGAGTTGCTCTAATACAATCCTTTCCCCTTAGCATCTGTGAGATAGTTAAGAAAACACACACACACACACACACACACACACACACACACACACACACACACACAAACATACACATGCATACACACACTTTTTCACTTGGGAAGTGTTAAGGCTTGGGGAAGAAGGATCGAGAGAAGGAGAAGGTCATTAGGGGCCAGCCACCCAGCTACACAACCAGCAACGGAGTAAGAAAGACAGGCATGAAGTGCTGTGCCTTCCAGGAAGGAGCTGAACCTCAGATGGGGAGTGTGGAATTCCTGGGGCCCGAGAAACAGCAGGGAGAGGGTGCCAGGACATGGGAAATAGCACTGACTAGGAGGTGGGTGTTGTTACAAAGTTGGTCAGTTTTCACACACATCTCTTCCCCTGACTCATAGTCTCTCTTTCTGGCTGGTGTGCCCCGCCCTGATGTGATATGGGTACCTTCCAGTTCTGGCCCTCTGTTAGTGCCGTATGGAAGTCCCTTGGCACAGATGCCTGCTTCTTCCTGGACAACCTGGAGTGGTTATGTATAATCTGTTCTCATAGACGTGGAATAAGAGTCTTCTCTCCCAAAGTAGCAAGTGATTCAGCTCTAAGGTAATCATGATGGCACCTTGTCCCTCAAGTTTTAGGCTTTTTACTTATTTTCTTACACGTTGACTCTTGGTGCTCTCTTATCCTTGTGGGTTTTCTGCTTCCTAACTACTGACTTGGTTCTTAACGCACAAACTTAATCCTCATTCCTGACCACTCAGGAAGCTGCTAAGCCATATGGACTTTACCCGTTTTCAGTCCACACCTGTAATTCTTAGGTTTGTTGTGTTTTTCTGCCTGGCTTCCTGTGTTGCTCTGGGTTGCCTCATCAGCAATCAGCTCTGATCCAACAAGGAGGTCCAATTTTATTGAGCAGTCGGGTGTTGGAGGAGTCCTCACATCTTCATCTAGCATCTGGCATAATTCTCATGATATTTCCCATCATGAAGTTAATTTTATAAGTAATAATTCAAAGAAGCTTCAACAGAAGTATTTTATAATCAAGGAATGATAATTCTTTCCTGTTGTTGAGTTAGTTATGCCTTTATAAATTATAATATAGTATTACAAAATTGTATGGAGTTCCTACAGTGTCCCGAAATTGGGGTCATTCCATCTCTCCAAAGAACACCAGCCCTATTCCTGTGATGAAGAATATTTGATACAGTATTCATGGGTGACAATTTCTTATGCTGCTTCTTTATACTAACAGTGAACAAAAGTCAGTTTCCCTGTGGAGTCTACATTTTAGTAGTAATTTCAGCAATATGAACTCATAACTTATCTCAATAGGATATTATGAAATGAAGTTTTTTTTTTTTCTCCCACATCCAGGCTAATTTATCCAAATCAAGATCCTCAGTTGGAAAGGCAAACTCAGTCTCTGGTTCCAGCAAAATTGGCAGTATGTCCTGCATGTATGTTGAGAGCATTCAGTTCTGGAGAACTCTTGGCCAACAAGCTCAAGATTAATTTCTTATTGTTCCTCCAAAATGTTGTATCTCCAAGGTAAGATATGGTGGGCTCTAAAGTAGTAGTTCTTTCAGACCATTGTTCCTAAGAATTTGCACTGAGCATGCAGGAGGTGGAGGCAGAGGAAGGTGATTCTCTGTGAGCCTAAGGATAGCCTAGTCTACCTATTTAGTGATTTCCGGGCCGGCCAGGGCTACATAGTAAGACCCTGTTTTGAAAATCAAAATTCACATTCAATTTATTTGTGGAGCTATAACTGGTTATGACAGATCATTGATGAGCCCGATGGCATGTTGTCAACACCATTTCTAACCATCATCAAGCGGTTTCAGATGGGCCTGCTAAAGCAGTTGTTTTCCACAGTGCCCACTTGACACCACAATGCCATGCTCCATAGTGCATCTGTAGGTTGCTCTCTGACCTTCAGGGTTTGATGGGGCTGGGGATCCTGACCTCAGAAAGGAATTGAGAAAGTGCCTGGCAATCACATGACCCATCATCATTTCCTGTTATTAGCTTGGCATGGGTGGGGGTAATCAGCAGAACTTCATTCCAAGTGTGTGTTGAAATTCTCTGCTGTCCTTTGAAATCCCAAGTAATGATTTCCTCCCATTGTACAACGCAAGAAGTCTGATGAAGCAACACATTTGGTATTTTGTGTTTGGAGATCTCTTTCACAAAGGCCACCTATAGATGTTCTGGGTTTGCTTGAGTGACAGTGCTGGATGATGCCATAGGGGCCACCGGCTAAGTCTACGCGGTAATAAAACACATCCTATAGGAACAGAGGCAGAGATAAGCAAATCTAAGAGGGATAGAGCAACAACTCAAGGGTGTATCAATCAGACAGCCAAGGTCACGGTGAGCAGAATGGAACACCAAGAAAATAGTCCCCGATAAACCAATGCGGTAATTGGAAGTGTTTGTGGTGATGGGAAAGAGGACTCTGGAGGCCTCCAGGGTGAGATAAGGCAAGCAATCAACGTGTCACGGTAATTTGTTAGCTGTCTTGGCTTCGGGTCGAGGTGTATAAACCTGCCTGATGTGATGTATGAAGCCCGCTAACTCTAGGAAAGTTGGCCATAGAAGGACAACAGCAAAGTGGAGCCTGCTTGGTGCCGACAGGGGAGTCATCTGCACCTGTAAATGTGACATCTTCTCTGATGAAGGGAGTGGTTGACTACAAGCCTCCTACATCAAGCCTTACTGAGCACAAAAGACTATTTCATGCTTTCCCCTGATCTTCATGATGAGTTCACATGAACTGATGTTCTTTAAAAGCTGCAAAATGGGTATATAGACTCCTCACCTCTACAGGCCAAAAGACATCCACTGACCTTCTAAACCCATGAGAGCTACACAGCCCTCATGTCACAGACAACATCCTAGCTTTGTGCACTTTTCTCTGATCCCGAGGCTGCATGGGATGACAGTCCCACCACACTGCTAACCTCACACATGACTTATGCGTCTCTTTTCTTGCTAGGATCACACCAATAGTACCTTCAAGCATTGCAGGGATTTTTTACCTATTCTACACTGAACTCAGCTGAGACCACCTGGCCCAGCTCATGGATAATGTATTGCTGTGATAGCACCTGATCTTTGCTCACTCAACACCTATTATTTTCACTTTTTCCCTCAGAAACAAACTCTGATTTTTATCTAATAATATGATATATAGAGCTAAGAGGGTGCTATTCCTAATGTCCTTTGCAGTTGGGTTTGATTATGTGATAAAGTTCTGGCCAATAAGATTTAAGCAGAAGATGTTGGCTAAGACTTCTGGGAAATCTCCTGGAGTGGGAACTGAGTTCTGAGGCCCAATCCTTTGGCTTAATCTCACTCCTGCTTCCCACAGGTTGAGAACACACAAGACAGCCAGATCGTATCATTTAGTCGGACTTTGAGACTAGAAATCACCTAATGGGAATGGCCGGTTCATGAATTAGATGGGGTCTGGGTCTTTTGTAATTAGGTGGAGCTTCAATTTCTCTCTCTCTGGACCTCCACAGGATATGTTTAAATGGCTCCCTTTGTGAGACCTTGATTAACTCAAGGTCATCTTTGCTTCATTCCTTATGGATTGCCCTTAGATTGGCCTGCCCACAGTTATGTCCCTAATAATCAACCCATGTTAGCTTTCTTTTCTTTAAAAAAAAACAAGGGTTTTAGTATGTTGCTCATGTTGACATCCAACTCATGATCCTCCGGCCTTACTCCACCCCCCCACCAAGGGCTAGGATTGCAGGCAAGCTCCACCATGCCTGGCCAATGTCAGTGTCTCTGCGATGGATTTCATACTTTCTTCACCTCTGTGGTCCTCCTTTGGTCTACGCGACCTGTTGCAGTCCAGGCATGATATCCGTCCGTTTTTATGTTAATATAGTGTAGTAAAGAAGCTGTTGTCGTGTCTCTGTTCTTTCCAGTCTGCCCCATGCAGTCCCCAGTTGCTAGAGACGCATCACTTAGCTCACTCGGGCCTCAGTTTTTTTGTCTGTAAAATAAAGGGGACACCCCACCCCAAGGGAGGCAACTCACTTCAATTCCAAGTTGGAGAGTGGTAGTGACCAGGCCTGAACCTGAAAGCTCCTGCTCAGCTCCCCCCATCATACCTATACCTCCCAGCTCGTTGTGAGAACCAGATAAGGTCATGCACTAAGAGGCATTTTTATGTTCTGGAAAGTGGCATGAAGATCTTTGTGATCATTGCTGGGATTTATGCTTCCTAACAATCCAAGTGACAGAGTGAGGCCTCAGCTCTTAGAGAAAATTACTTGCCTTCACTGTTTCATTTTCCCCACAAACCTCAGGGGAGTGGCTCTTAGGCTTTGTAAAGAGTCAACTGATACTTAGGAGGTTTTACACTAAACGGAGGAAGCTTCTGTTGGCCTTTCTTGTGTCTGAATCTTCCCCGGTCTCACGGTGAGCTGGGGTTGGCTTTCCTTTGCCACCAGGGACCACAGTAATCACAGTAATAACATCATCCCCCTTAGGGCTTCTCTCTCTTTCTCTCTCTCTCCCTCCCTCCCTCCCTCCCTCCCTCCCTCTCTCTCTCCCTTCCTTCCTTCCTTCCTCCCTTTCAGGATTCTTTGCTTCTCTTTTATGCTCAGGTGGCTTCAAAGCCAGCTCAGAAACAGTTCATTTCTCTCTCTCTCTCTCTCTCTCTCTCTCTCTCTCTCTCTCTCTCTCTCTCTGTGTGTGTGCAGATATATGGAGGCTAGAGCTAAGCCTTAAGTGTCATTCCTCAGGAGCTGTCCACTTTCCAAAAAAAAATTTGTTGGGGCTTTGAGGTTCAGAGTACTGAGTCCTCTTCCAAAAGACCCAGGTTTGAGTCCCAGCACCCACATGGTGGTTTACAACCGTCTGTAACTCTAGTCCCAGGGGATCCAGTGGCCTTTTCTGGCCTCCATGGACACCAGGCATGCAGGTGGGACACATGCAGACACAACACCTGTATGTAGCAAATAACTAAGTAAATAAATAAAATTTATAATTAAGTTTCTAAAAGGTGTGTGTGTGTGTGTGTGTGTGTGTGTGTGTGTGTGTGTGTGTGCCCTTGGAGTCCAGAGATGATTTTAGACCCCTGGAATTGGAGTTACAGGTGGTTGTGAGTTTCCAGTGTGGGTACTGAGAACTGAACTTCTTGGATCCTCTGTAAGACCAGCATGAGCCCTTAACCACTTAGTCATCAGTTCCCACTTATATTTTGAAACCAGGTCTCTCACTGATACCTCAGCTTCCCCCCAACAGCCTCTCCTTAGGCTAGACTAGGCTGGCCACCAAGTCCCAGGGAGTTTGCTCTCTTCACCCCCACAGTCATGGGACTACAATCATGCACTGCTATGCCTGCTTTTTTAAATTTAATTTTATTTTTTATGTGAAGTGCAGGGGATTGAATCCAGGGCCTCATGCTTGCATGGACTTGAGCTGTACCCACAACCCACAACCCACACACAACTACTTTCTGACTGTTGAAAGCACCCCAATGAGGATGTTCTTGAAGAGGTAAGCCCCAAAGCTTCTGGAAGTAGGATCAGGATTCGGGTCAGTGGGGACTTGGTCAAGAGCCAGTTTTGGGAAGGAAATAAAGGAGTTAGAAACCGGAGAGGCATTGTGGTCCCTCAGGGGGATGGTCGCTGTCTGCGGGAGTCCTCTTCCAAAAGCCCCAGGTTTGAGTCCCCATCATTCTTCATGTTGTGAACTGGAGGACACTGATGAAATATCTCCCAAGGAGCTGCGGTGGCACTGGGGCTGTGCAGCTTACTAGATGGAGCTCTTGCCGGTCTCACGCCCTGGAGCTATGCCGCTACTGTCCACAAGGAGGCGCCGACTCTTGCCTTTGTCTTTCTGTTTGACCTAAGGATTTTGCAGAGGATCTGAGTTCTTGAGAGGAACTGGCTTCTTTAAGAGGATTTGGCCTCCAGAAATAATAGAATTGTAGGTTTTTTGTTTTTTTTTTTAAACTGGAGAAGCTCTCAGAGTTCTTATTTGATGGAGGTGAGCAACTGAGGTCCGGAGAGGTTAAGTGATCGGTTCAAACTTTTGCGGTAAAATACTGTGTTAGGATGGTAATGTGGGTTCTTAAAAAATTTCCTAATTAAATGTTCTTTCCATGAAATCTTTTTGCAATCAAGAAGTCAGGATATTTGATGAATAATGGTAGGAGAGCGGAACAGATTCGCGAATTACCTGATTTATTTTCTGGCAGTAGTAGCCACTTTAAAAGAAAATGGCTCTGCAATAGTTTTCAAAGAGACCAGGGTCGCAAGGATGGACCTGCAAATTGTAATGTCTCTGTCTTCTTTTCCCCAGCGCTCTTCATTCCGTTTCCCGTTTATGATCCCACCTTCTGGGGTATTTGGTCTCATAAACTGTCGGAGACTCCATTGCACGTACACGTTGACCTTGGTAGTTTTTTCTTTTGTTCACCAATGGGAGTTATTATGACAACCTAGAAAGGAAGATAATAGCAAGGGCACATTTCCTTTATCTTGATCTCTGCTGACTGATTTCCTGTGTGGCCAGGAATGTGG